CCCACTCTGCCAACCCGGTAAGCTCACGGACTTTCTTTTTTGTCGCGGACAAATTGTGTGTCCTTTACGGCGTTAACCTTATTCTCCAGAGACCGAACTGCTACGGGCTTATATGTCCTCGTGAAAGAAGTGCCTCCTTTCTTTCTTTTCTCTCCTTTTCTACTCCACCGTCTCTCCCCTCCATCACGTCGCGCCCTTTGCTCGACGAAACATATTTTAGAATGTAAAGCAACACCGACGCGTATTCCCCTAGGGAATGAAATATGTAACGCCGTGTTACATATTCCACCATATTTATGCGTGTGTATCGGTGAAAACGCGTTAATTGTTCGTTCTCGATTAATTTCGTTCGCGAGCGTCTTCGCTCGCCGGGAGAAATTTAATCGTACCTATTCGATGTTTCTTCCTTAGTCATTTACCCATTTTCGAGATTATGTTCAGGCAATTCTGTGCATAGCAAGTTCGTTTAACCCGGTTGAAAATGTTCCTTCGAGAAGAAAACGTCGTTTCAACGCGGTAGATAAACATCTATTTCACAGGGTGGCGTGAAAACGTTACAGGTGCCAAGGCTGATGTTAATCCGTGGGTCCCATTAGGGCCTGGTACTGTGAACAAAAAAAAAAGAAGCTGTCCAACCCCATTCCTTTAAACTTTCTTTTCCTCCCTTTCATTGTCGTCGCCCGGACACCCCTTCAACTCTTTTATCTTTCCTCCTTTTTTCGCCGTGTTCGTCTTGCCCTTTTAAGCAATCCACAATCTTTTGTGGCCCGCTGAAATTTTTACACTTCTTTCATCTTCACGTCCTTCCACGTGTTCGTGCCTCTCTGTATTTCTTTCTGTACGTATGTGCAAGTCCCTCTGTGTGTGTTATAATTATTCGCGGAAAAAGACACTCGGCCTTTTCTCTACGGTTTATTCTTATCGCCCGCATAGTAGATTAACTCTACGCTTTTCGGACAAGCTGTGAATCACGTCCCGAGGAAGTAAGTACAAGTCTACTGGTACATCGTACCTCATATTCGAACGCGTTGAATTCGAAGCTCGACATTCTGCAGGAAGACGCATCGTCTTTGCTGAATTTTACACGACCCTCGAAGAACCGGCGCTCGTTGACCGATTAAACAAGGAGCAACGAAAAAGTGAACGTGGCGAGCCTCGGATCGTTTGCTCGAAATTATCGGTTATTAGCCGGAACCCGCACGTTTGCGCAAGGTTTCGGTGTGCCTCGTGTAATTTTTCTCCCTGACGATGATTACGACAGTACACGAATTCGTGGATAGCGGAAGGACACGCGAAGAACGGGCGAATCAGATAAGTTTGAATTGCGAAATGTGTACCAGATAGGATCTGTGTTTTTTTTTTTATTTTGCTCCGGGCTTAATGTTTAAAACATCCATTATTACGTTTTTCTTCTTTCGTTCCACTTCTTTACGTATAATATTGCGTAAAAGGTATTACGTTTTAATCATGGAAGCCCCCCTAAATGTGAAAACGCCTGCAACATATGATCATCGATACACTGTTGATCGCTAACAAACGGCGAGAAACTATCTAGTACGTTGCAATTAAAAATGAACGCGTTCGTTCGAACGATGTAAACTACGATACAACGAGGGAACAATAATGCATTTCGTTTCCTTTCCTTTTTCTTTTATTTTCCACCGAAGCCTGCAGAACTTTCGCCAACCCATAATTTGCATTTCATGCACTGGATCATGCTCCCTACGTGTATATAGCCCGTTGCAGGGGCAGCAAAACCTTTATTAACGGACAGTATGCTATTCCGTGCAGTATGGGTTAATTGCGCATAAGTTCTCAAATAATAAAGGTACAATTCGGGAATTTTAGGAAGTTAGGAAAGTTAATGCAAATACCAATTTTACGTTTACAATAAACACAGAGGAGTAGCCGTGGGTACGATGGTAAAATAATACCTTCGCTGGAAACCTGCTTTCGCGGAAACGCGGGGGATACAGAAGGTGAAACAATATCGTGGAGTTATCATCAGCTTGGTGAATTATTTAAAAATGTTTACGCGACGAAACGGAATTTCTCGTTGCTCGTTTATTACGTTAACCAAATTTCGATCTCGACGTTCACTTTCATACTCGAGCGTGTAATTTACCTTCTCGTTTTGTTTTCGTCCTTATACGTACTCTGTAGTAACGAGAACGTTGTAATAATAATACTTTAAGTGATTGGGTACGCATATTGAACAACTTTCCTCTTCCTCCAGATTTCCGAACGCCAGACTGCGATCCTTTTCGGCACAAATGGATCAAGGATCAGGCAACGTTTACCCCCGCGGATCGGTTCTTCCCTTCTGGCCCCGGTGTAACCAGTCAGCCAGCTACTCGAGCTTTCTT